GCCCCGTCGGCTTCACCGGGCTCCGAGCCTCGACCTGGCGCGTCTTTGCTGCCGACAGCCGAGGGGAGCTTATGGTGCAGCTTTCGAGGAACTTGGCATAGTTTAAGAGCAGGATAGCCCTTCCGCCGGCCCCGCGCCCCTCCGAGTTCCGTTGGGTTGCAGATCCGACTCGTTTCTCTGAGGATCCTTGCAGCATCTTGGTTGGGGGCTGATTCCTGCTCCAGCCAGTGTTTTCCTGAGGGGCTGCTTCTTACAGGCGCTGTGAGAGACGCAGATTTGCTCTAACTCCTGTATCTGGCAGATTGTCTGTAAGCTCCAAGATCTTGCGTATCTAGGAGCTTAAACATAGGCAGAGGTATTGGTGATAACAGCTGTTGCAGAAGGTATCACTGCACTTAGTTGGTGGTCTTCCTCCCTGAGTGTTGTTCCCACGTGCTGCTTCCCACTTCATCGGGGGGTTGTGTTTCTCAGTATCACAAGATGTGTTTATGGGATACCACTGTTGTTACGGCATCTGCTTTTGTCAGTCTCCTTAACTGAGCTAACTCCGTCTAAAGTGACTGTTGGTCACAAAGTGCAGCCTCCTTTCACGCTAAGTGCAGGATACTGCTCAGTTTTCTGTACTGGAGGATGATTTTGGTCACCTACAGTATGCAGGAGACAAAGTAATTTATTTTTTTTACCTTCAGGGAGTTCATACAACTCTTGACAGGTGTCATTTTGAAAACCAAATACTGCAGGATCTTTTGCAATGTACAGCATCGTGTGGGAATGTATGGCTTTTAGATATCTGAACAGCCATGTCATGATCTCCGTAATAACTTCCATGTACTTCTTTCTGCGTGCATTTTTCATCCTTGATGTCCTGTTGTGAGATATGTACATTGTAAGGCTTCTAAACTTTTTTTAACCTTTGGTTCAGTGTAAGCTGGCTGTTTGCTTTAAGATGCAGTTTAGGGTTGTGATGAAAGTTAATACTTCCTATTCCAATTGTGGTTACAGTGGTCAGTTTTGACTTTTAAAAGAAAGTGTGGTGTGGTGTTATGTGGGTTTGTTTTTTTTATTTTCTTTAAAAGCTTTTGCTGAAATAACTGTTCTGTTACTTAAGTATGTTTTGTAACCTGTACAGACAGTTATGACAGCAAAAGCCCCAATACCAATACAACTTTATTAGAAATAAAAATAAACAGCAGCTTGGTAACACAAGACGTAAGATATAGCAGTTTAAAGTTTGTTAGCAATGGACTTGTTAGATTAGGTGGTTAGGTGGTGCATGGGTCGTAACTTAGTGTTTAAATTGCGGGGTGGCTTTCAGAAGTCAAATATATTGCAGGTTAAGGGCTGTGCTGCTGCATTAACAAAAGATAAAACTAAAAGCACTGCAAACTGGTTAGCATGTTTGCAGCGGTTCCCTTAATACATGTTGCTGTGTTAGTGTACTTTGAAGTGGGTATGCTTTCATATACTGTGCATGTATCAAGTTCTGTGTAATTTTTGGTGGGTTTTATGCCAGTGTGAATGCATTTTAATAGGTATTCGCTATATTTCTTTCTTAACACTATTTTGCAATAACTTGGTTATAATGAAATTGAGATGTTACAACTCCTTATGAATCTTCTGTAAGTAATGGCAGTCTTACTGACCAGTACTTGTGGTTAGCCGTGTGTTTGTAGCATACTCTTTTAAGTGTTCCCATTCGAATGTGCTGTAAGTTGTGGGAACCCAACTGCAAACTGTGTTTGTGTAAAACACGGCTGTGATGTAACTGGGGGCTCTCAATGTTCTCAGGCTGTTAGTAGCATGGAAGAAAATCCTGAAGCAGCACTTCGAAAACTAAGCTTTTCTCCAAAGTCTTCAGTGTTTAATAACTCCATACTGTGCACTCTGAATCATGATCCTTATGTGGGGTCCAAAATCTGTTTTTTACAGCTTAATTCGGATGCTTGTTGTTCATAGTTTTATAAAAACAATATTCACAGTTGTGGACTGCTTCCTGAGGTCTCTTACCTCACCTCTGGTTCAGCTCTAAAGTAAATATTGAATCAAGTGTAAAGATTAACACTGTAACATAATGTAACTAGAGATCAATGTATGATAAACCTAGAACATATGTTTTGCAGGTTCAAGAAAACTCGCCAGCTCAACAAGGAGGACTGGAACCGTTCTTTGATTTCATCATTGCCATAGGACACACTAGGCTTGTAAGCCTCAAGTGATTGTACTGTTTCTTTTTTTTTTCTCCCTGCATGAAATATGGGTATTGTAATGATGAAAGGTAGAAGCTGAAGCTGTTGCAGTAAATAAAGCTTTTCATATTGGACACTGTATGTGGCATTAAAAGGTAAAGTGAAACTTGGCAGTGTTCAACATCTCCTCTCTAGCTGGATCCAAATTTGAGGGAAGAGCCTTTAGTCACCCAAACTCCTTACCAGATTAGCACAATGTTTATGATATTAGTCATTCATGTATATTTTCTGCCACAAGAATGTCAAACTGGTGAGTCAATGGTAAGAGCTCAACTTTTATTTAAGCAAACTTGTTTCAACATTTGATAAAGCATGGAAAAGAGCCATAGCTTATCTGCTTGTACTTTAAGACTGGGAATGCAGTTCCTGTGTGTTGAGTTATGAGAAAAGGGTTGAGCTTTAGTTTGATTGGGTTTTTTTGGTTTAAAAGGCTTGCAGCTTTGGCTGTATGCTTCACCCTAAGTACATATGAGCGGAATTAATTAAGTTTGTCTTGCTTTTATTAGTGGAGGTTCCTTCTGGAAGTGATTGTTATAATGGTAGGTTTTGGTGGAAGATGATGTAATCTTTTAACAGGACAGAAATAATGATAGTTCTCTAAGTAACTCACCAACAGTCTGTCCCTTCGCAGCCAGTATGCACTGACTTTGAAGGGTTATTCAGTAAGGACTGGGATCAGAGGCATGAAGTACAGTGTTGCTGCTTATTGTTAGACTACATAGTTGAGATCTAATATTGCTGATATTATTTAACAGCAG